ACAAGATGCTTACTCAACGCTCTTTCCTTTTTCCATTGCAACACATCAAGAGACAGGGTAAAACAAGGTTGATGCAGCAGCAGTGAGCAGATTTCAGACCACAGGGCTCTTTTTTTCACACAACGGGAGGAGAAGAATGAAATACTTTCCCCTCCGTACATGAGAATTCTTGCCACCCTTTTTTTGAGCAGTTTAATGCCAAGCTACCATGAGGTGACAAAGCAAAAGGTGTCAGGAGCATCTGCTCGGGAGGAGAAACACTTCACACGTCTACCAGTTCCAGCTTCTGCTTCTTGTTTTTGCATTTCTTCCTCCATCTCCCTGGTTTTGCTTTTGCTTCTTGCTCCTTTCCCCTACGCTGGCAGCCCTTAAATGGCCCCAAACGCGTAGATGAGAGCGCAGGGCCTCAGGCTGAAGTGCTGCTGTCCTCCCACGGCGTCCTGCTCGACGGGCCCAGAAACGGCCCTGCTAAACTGCCCGAAGCAGCAACGACTTTTCCCCGTGTCACTTTTCCCCCCGACTTTGAAGGCAGCCTGAAAGACAAGAGGAAAAAAAAAACATAAACAGAACTGAGCGTCAGACAGCACAGGGGACTTGCTGCAGATTAAAACATCCCCGTTCAGATGCAGGTCTGCAAAAACAGTCGTTTTTCCTTGGAAGTTGTAGGCTGCCACCTTGCAGCGTTACAGAAAATAGACGCAGCTCGCGTCGCAGCACTGGGAAAGGCACAATATTCTGTACATTCACCAAGTTTCAAATTTTGGCAGCTGCAAGGGTGCCTAAGTGAGAGAAGACCATAGTTATGCTGAGAAAACCTGGCTTAAACTTCAGCATCATCCTCATGGTGGGGACTGATGAACACGAGGCTCATCAGCAAATTAGCAGCACGACCAAGAGCACCGGGCAGCCAAAAATAAACAAAATGGGAACTAGTAACATAAACATCCTGTGTTGTGGGGAAGCATAAAGGCAGAAGAGAGGCTGGATTCACCGTTTCTGAAGACTTGGGAGGCTTCTGAGTTTAACACTGTGCTTGCCGATGGCTTTTGGGGCGGAAAACCCATGCTATATTAATTGCATAGCGTGCATAAAGGCCGTGCTGTGCTGCTACCTGCATTTTAATGCTTCGAGGGTTAAAATGAGCGAGGGGATATTATCGCGATATGGCGATATCGCGACAGGGCCAAGGTGCTTCTCGGAGCCCTTTTTCCGCGCTCGCAGACAACCCTTTCACACAGCCCAGCCAGCAGCGGGAGGAGGAGGGATGTGGAGGGACTTTCCCGACGGGATCAACGCGCCCCGCGCCGGAGGCCGCCGCCTCCCGCCTCAGCGCGGCGCTTCCCGCCCGCGCGGCC